ACTCTAACAAATATATCATCCTGGATAACAGTATTTCTCAAATTGGCATTTGCAGGCCTCCGTGTGTCCAAATATAATTTTATAAGTTAAATTCTCACAAATTTAAGGATTCAAGTGCTCTCTGAGAACTGTTAAATGTAATGCTTTTCTTTCAGTGATAATCTAAAAACATAAACATATTATTAATCATTTGGATGAACTCATAAATGAGTGCTGTCCTGTGGTTTTTGTTTCCGTGGTTTTATTTTGCATTTGTTGTTACAATTATATGAAAGCATTTAGCTTTAATAGTTTATAGGTTTAGCTTTAATGGTTTATAAGTTTATAGCAGGCTGCTTTATATTAGAGTCCTAATGTTAAAATGATCACTGTCCTAAGACATCTGCTTTATACTCATATTGAATTGCCTTAATTGTTATATCTAGTTAGCTATGAAGAAACAGCGATGGCTGTTGATGAGTCAGGTAACTGTGTCTCCCACAGCAAATTAGTGCAGTGATGTACCTATTGCTTTGCTAAGTGAAAGCCAGAGGATGTCAAAGAACACAGGTTTCATCCTAGCTTGCACAGAGAAAAAGGTGCTGGAGAATTGAGGTTGCCATCCCACAGTGTAGGCAGTACAAGTATGCAGAACCCAAAAGGAGCTATGCTGTAGCAGTCAGGACCATATTCAAGGAGGGTATTGCTTGCAGGAACCTTGTCTTGTCTTGTATATTTCAACTTGTAATAGTTAATCAGCAGCAAGAGTAGTAGTAATTAACAAGGAAAACATTTTCATGAAACAGTATTTAAAATTATTTTCAATATTTTTCAATATTGCATCCAGGGGCAATCTATTAACATATTAGTTTGAATGAAAAAATCATATAAAATTAATGAAAGTTAAACAAAATTTAATGATTTAAACCAATATTGGGGATCCTCAAGAATGTTTTTTTTTTTTTTTCCTTTTTGTCTTTTTTTACTGACCAGTAACGGGATCGCAACCCTCGGTGTTGCGCCCGCACCACGCTCAGCCAGTGAGCGGGAACCGGTCTCCCCATGGGAGCTGAACCCTAGGCGGGAGCGCCGCCACGCTCCCAAGTGGCGCACTCTCCAGTGCGCCACTGGGCCGGCCCCCTCAAGAATGTTTTGATCCTCACAATGGACCTTATGTTTGAGAAAATTACTTTAAGATAATAGATGGAGGGAGCTAAATCCTCTGTAGAACTGGGCTGAGAGCCAGTGCTTTGCCCAGTGAAGAAGAACCATATTTATTTGAAATGAGCAGAGAAAAAATTTAGGGCCTTCCCTTCTAAGAAATAGAGCCAAATATGATTCATGCCAGCATTTTCTCAGTGGTGGCCTCAATCCCAAGCAATTCTTCCTAACAAAACCCTACCTAAAGCCCTCAGCAACCAATAAGTTAGTAACAGATTTTTTTTATATATATAAAGGATTTTAGAGAAAACTTAAGTAAATTTCACTAATTGACTCCTTAGCTCTTTTTTTTTTTTTTTTAAATAAAAAGATGACTGGTAAGGGGATCCGAACCCGTGGCCTTGGTGTTATCAGTACCACACTCTCCCGAGTGAGCCACGGGCCGGCCCTTTAGCTCTTTTTTTGATTACTCTTTCCCAGGTTCAATAAATTTCAAGACTGATGGTGGAGACTAAAGGAAATTATTCCTTTTGTTTTTTTTTTTTGGCAGCTGGCCAGTACAGGATCCAAATCCTTGCCTTTGGTGTTATCATCTCTGTGTCTAACCAAATAAGCCAACCAGCCAGCCAGGAAATTATTCTTGGTAGAAACAGTTCATCTTCATGAGTGACCCTTCATCCACAGAAGGCTGGGGTTTTTTTGTTGTTTGTTTATTCTGTTTAGAGTTGCCTTTGATTGCTTTTGTCCTTCCTCTCACACCCATAGAAATTCTCTGAAGTCTGGTCTTAGCTTACCTCTCACCACTTTCTCAGAGATCTCATTTACTCCCACAGTGTCAAGTGTGCTTGATATTGTGGATGATGTCAAAATCAATATAATTTAGGGCCGGCCCGTGGCTCACTCGGGAGAGTGCGGTGCTGATAACACCAAGGCCCCGGGTTCAGATCCCATATAGGGATGGCCGGTTCGCTCGCTGGCTGAGTGTGGTGCTGACAGCACCAAGTCAAGGGTTAAGATCCCCTTACCGGTCATCTTTAAAAAAAAAAAAAATCAATATAATTTATTAATTTATTAACAAATATCTATTGTACCTACCACATGCCAGGAACCATCTGCTAGGTGTTAGAGTAGTGACATGATGAACTGCCTTTCCATGGCCTTTCCCTCAAGTTCCCACACTTCCAACTGCTTCCTGGCCAACCCTGTCTGGAATCCCAAATTCAAATCCCCCAAAATCTGTTTCATGATATTTCTGTGAATTTCACCACTTTTCACCCAGTTCCACTGGGACTCATTCTTGACTCTTTCCTCTCCTTCAATACCATATCTGATGCCCAGATCTTGCAAATTTTGCCACCTAATCCCATCTTTCCACTCTTGACACCACCACCCTCACTCAATAAACCTTTGTCATTATTATTATTATTATTACTATTTTTTGGCTAGTCAAGTGAAGCAGCGGGAGTGGAGAAGGAACAAAGAAATCTGTAACTGCTCATGATCAATTAGTTGTAAACAACTACACTCGGACTGGCCCTTTGACATTATTTTAACCTTAAAACTACTTCTTCACCGTTTCCTATGTCACTGGTTAATGACATCACTCATGTCACCAAAATAAGAAACCAAGGAACAGATTTAATTTACTCTTTTCTCTCATCCTAAATCCAATTTATCCTAAGGCCTGTAGAAATATCCTTTGTATTTCTTTCCCTCTTTCCATCCTGCTGCCAACGTCACATCACAGTTGTGAAACTTCTCTTGTCTGGACCATTGCAGTAGCCTCCTAATTGGTCCCTTTGTCTAGTGTCCCAGTCATTAGGTTCATCCATCACACAGATGCCAGAGTCATCTTCCTAAAACATAGTTCAAATTTCAAAAACATAGTCCACATCTCAAAAATTGTGAATACATTCTAATATTCATTAAGAACTCTTATGCCACTTACTGCTAGGTTTGGTACTACAAAGGTAAATAAAACAGGAAGAATCCTTCCCAGATTACTGGTGAACAAGTGAGGAGAACACAATGGGATATGTGTAAAAATAGAGCAAGAGATATATGCCAGAACCTGTGAGAAAGCCTCCTCCCCTACAGTTCTGAAATTTTTGCTGTTCTCTACAGGGATTCCACAATCACTTAGACAAGCATTCAATGAGATTTCTTCTCTTTTCAGAACTCTATTTCATTTTTTAGGGGCCAGGATTTTATTCATTTTATGCTATTTCATTTCTCTGGGCCAGGATAACTCTTTTGGTTCTCATATGAGACAAAAATGCTCAAGTGCCCACCCCAGAGCATGGCGCATGGTGGATACTATAGATGGTAATTTTCTTTTGGCTGAAGTAGGACTGTGTGTTGTTGGGTTAGCCTGCCCATGGAATTACTACCCATTATGAAGCTCAGAACTTCAATTCCACTTCCCCCTCAAAAAGGAAATGAATAATGCCAAATAACTCTTCAGCCTCACGCAGAGAAGGAAAAAGCAAATAAAGAATCTTCACTGTTGCAAAGTAGGATGATAAATACCAAATAATTGAGATGCTCAGCCAGTGTGACACAGCATTTCCCCATTTCTTATCCTACTATAAGGGCCAAGGGAGTTAGTGCGGGTGGAGACAGAAAGAAGAACATAACATTATTTATTAAATGCTCACTGACTGAGCTCCTTTTTTATATCAGATGATGTGTTGTGACTTGGCGACACGGACATGGACGTCACCCAAATGCTACCCTCCAGAAAGTCAGTCTAGCAGGGAGAGGCAGACATGTAAACAAGTAAAATAACTTAAAAGTTTTTTGGGGGAAATACAGGCTATTGATCGGGTACAAAGGAGGGAACAGTCAATTGCAGGATGAGTGAAGGTCAGGAACAGCTTTAGAGGAAGTAATGCTTCAGCTGTCTTCAAAGATGTATTTTCTCAGGCCAACTAGGAAGTAATGGGTTTTCCGGGTCTGAACGAAAGTGTGAAGGCTGGAAACAGCTACACTTTGTTCTGGGTGTAATAAGTGATGAGGATGGAAAAGTTATAGTAACTATAATAGCTAACATTTCTAACGTATAATAAGAACTAGGACTGTGCTAAATGAGTTACACAGATTATTTCAATTAAGTATTAATATTATTCCCATTTTACACGTGAGAAAAGGAAGGCTTAACAGGATTAAGACTTGCCCAAGATCTCACACAATATGATAGTGATGAGTTTTAACTGAGGAAATTGACTACAGAGCCCCAGTTTTTTAACCACCAATAAGAGGAGTGACATGATCAGATTTCAGAAAGATTCCCTTCAGCCACGGTGGAAGGGATGGATGGGAGATAGAAAAAAGCAACCGTGTAATAAAAGAGAACAATGCAGGACGCTGTTTAAGCGGTGAGGGTTACGGATGATCAGCCCTAGGGCGGAGGCTGCGGGGACCTGGGCGGACTTGAGAAGAATTTGGATAGTTCTCAGGGCTTGGTGTGGTTAGACGTGGTCCTCCGTGGGCCGCAAAGAGGATCCTTACCGTGGATTGGTCCTTGAGGTGACACAGAGCGCAGGGATCCTGGAAGTAAACAGAATCCCAGTTCCCCGCAGAGATACCTGATTAACCGAAGCTTTTGTGTTTGGGGACAGTAAAAAGGGCGTGTCACTTTCCGACCTCAGCCATTGGTAGCGGGGAGTGGGATTAATACTTTCTGGGCCCATGCCCACTCTGGCGCGGGAAAACGCTGAGTCATTCCTACGGGGCCGCTGGGGCGGGGCTCGGGCCCGATCCCCCTGCTCTCCCCTCCTCCCGCACCCCCCCGACCCGCTCCGATTCTCGCGAGAGCCCTGCAGGCTATAAAAGCAGCGCTCCGCGTGGGCTTCGTGCGTCTTCTTCCCGGTTGCTTCCTGTGTCTTCTCTCTCAGGAGATTCGGTGTGGGAACTGGTGAGTCCGTGGGCAGCGCGGCCTCGGCGGAGCGAGGCGCAGAGCCCGGTACCCTGCTGGTCGCCTTTCCCTTACCCTCTCCGGGGCTCGTGCGCGCTCATCTGGGTGCTGTGGCGAATGAGGCAGCCAGGCGAGGCCTGGCACCCGAGAGTGCTTGGGCGCTACGCGCACCCCCAAGTGGACCGCCCCCCTCCGTGGGCACGGGCACCCGGTAAACCCCGAAGCTGGAGTCGACTCGAGACTCCACTCCGCAACCCGAGCGAAGGGCGTTGGTTAGCTTGGCCTGGTGGGGGGACGGGCTTGTGGTGGTGGGGTCTCCTTTGCGAGCCTCAGGCCGGGCGGGGTTGAGCTCGGGAGCTTCTAGAATGGACCTGCATCCTGACCTGTGGCTGTAGAAGGCAGCCTGTGACGCGGTCCCTGGTGTGATAGGGATAAAGGCTGTTCCCGGTCCTCAGCCGTGACTAGCTGCGGAGCTTCGAGTGCTGAGATTCCCTTTCCCCGTTTTCATTTTCTGGTCTGTGGAATGGGATTTGTGATGATTCCAAATGCCTTCGCTAAAGACTGCACACACTTTTTTTTTTTTTTTTTTTTTTTTACTAAATGGACAGTGGTATGTGCGGGGGGACATCAAATTGAGATGCGATGGGGAAAAATATTGGTTTTGTGAAAAGACCCTTCTATGGTCTGAATGTCTGTCCCCTCCAAAGCTCATGTGGTATTTAATCCTGAATATGGTATTTGGAAAGAGGTGACTGTATCATGAGGACTATGCTCTCATGAATCCATTCATGGATTAATGGATTAATGGTTTAATGGGTCGCACCGCGCTCAGCCAGTGAGCGCACCACCCATCCCTATATAGGATCGAACCGGCGGCCTCGGCGCCCCCAGCGCCGCATTCTCCCGAGTGATCCACAGGGCCGGCCTTGCACACACTTTCTGATGGTGCTTTCCCAAGTGCTAGGGCGGGGGTGGTGGTGGGAGTGGCAGGAGGTTACCTAAAGTGGGGGCTAGGGGGCGTGGCCCTCACCAGGATTCTCGGGTAGATCCCCTGAATGGGCCTGGCACCGGCCTGAAGTTCAGCAGCCTTTCGCCCGAGTTGGTTGGGCATTGAACATGAGGGTCACCTGGAAGAGCATGTTTGGACGAGAAGGCCACTTAGAGTCACATCCCGTAGTTGGTCGCCAAGTTGCAGCGCGCCTTTTCTGTTGTTAAAGGTATCGAATTTTTTTTTAAACAGGTAGTGACAACTTCGCAATGTTCCATACTCACATTTCGTTTGGTTGTGTTATGAAACAAGAACTTTGGGACTTATTAGAAAATTAGCTTCTTTGGGTTTTCAGAGCGATGACTTAATGGGTTAAATCTGAACTCCTTATCTTGGCGTTGACCTTGATGAATCCAGTGCAACGTTGCCTTTTAGCAGTTAATTTACTCTTGTTCTACTTATTTTTGCTCTGGGATCTTGGCTCTGAGGTCAGAAACCCATTTTTAAAAGAACTTCTACGGGTTAGATACAATACCTAAAGTTTTGAAATTGAACATATATGAGTCCATTTCTTGCTGCTTATAACAGAATACCTGAAACTGGGTAATTTATAAAGAGATAGTATTTATTCCTTACAGTTTCGGATGCTGTGAAGTCCAAAGTCCAGCAGCGAAGGCCTTTTTCTGGGTGGTGACTCTCCACAGGGACGCTGTGTGTCACATGGTGAATGGCTGTGCAAGAGTGAGCTAAGGTTAATTACTCACTCTTCTTAATGAAGCCATCATAGCCACGCTCATGACCATCCATTAAACCATCAATGGATTAATCTGTTCAGGAGGGTACAGTTCTCAATTTAATCAACTCTTAGAAGCCCCACCTTTCAATTACCATAATAGGATTTCCCAACCTCTTAACACTGTTAAATGGAGATCAAGTCTCCACATGAACCTTTGGTGGGGACAAGTTCAACCCACAACAGTGCAGATGCCAATATTCTGGTCTTGCCTCTTAAAAAGTTGGATTGGATTTAGGTTGTGTCATCTCTTGCATATATCTACCTGGAGAAAGGTCAAGTGTACTTCCCATGTTATGAGGGCAGATGGAGGCACACTCTGGAGAGGGCAACATGACTTTTGCGGAATCATGCACTCAGTGTTTGTGGCACTGTGCATTTGGGTCCTTTTTTGAGAGTCCACCCCCCTCCCTCTCTGCTTCTGCATAATGGATATGCAGAACAAAATGCCATTGTACAAACGATGGTTCAGAAATTATGATATAGGTGATTTTGATTTATGAAGAAATTGCTGTGCCATTTTTAAATGAAAACGAAGGCTGAGATTCAGAGACTTGTTTTGTTTCATAAGTTGGTAAGCTCAGGTTGTAACCCTTGACTGCTGGCCTTCGTTTCTTGCTCATATAAAATTTAATGTATTCAGGACCACTGGACAATTCCTTGATTGTTATACACAGCTAAGTCTCTTAAGTAGGTGAAGGCTGCTAGTTGTCTGGAAAAACAAGGCTTGTTTCTAACTCATAGTTATCTTTTCCGGCTGATAGCAAGATGTCTTCAGGAAATGCCAAAATTGGGCACCCTGCCCCCAACTTCAAAGCCACAGCTGTTATGCCAGATGGTCAGTTCAAAGATATCAGCCTGTCTGACTATAAAGGTAAGAATAATTACACTGGGCTATTAAAATGGAATTATTTTATAATGTAGGGATGGTTTGTTCAATTTGTGTCTCTGTTATGTTTGGCTGTAAAATGTTTTATGTCTCCTAAGACAAGGTCTTTAGAGTAGGAGGCTGTTGCCTTCATGTTGAAGTGGTGATTATTAACAGTGATCATATGGTAGACGACTTCTGGAGAAAGCACAGGCTTCATTGTGGCTGGACATATTTGCTCAACTATCTTTTCAGTACTCCTCAATTGAATTATTGGAGAAATTCTCATTATTCTTGTTAGAAGAGGCCTTCTACATTTAAAGTGTCAGAGCTCAAGTCTTTGGAGTGGTGACACTCCTTGTTTATTTTGTGAAATGTGTGTGTCATAGCTGGTATATATTGGGCAGAGGGCTTAGGCACATTCCCCTGACTGTTTTGCCCCCAGAGAAGAGTTGTTACAGTTGGAACAACTCTCCTTTCTGTTACAGTTTCAGGCAGACACTTGGCAGGTTCTCTTGAGGCTGTTACTTTGTTTGCCTTGCCATCCCAGAGCACATGGGTCTCCTGGGACAACTGAGGATATAAATTTCTTAGAATGCAAACCTGAAACTCGGGTATCAAGTGGTACTTTGTTAGTGGTCTGGTATCAGTTCCTGGGGTTAGCTTTTTGGTAGAACATTTCAATTAGGTTTCCTGACACATCACAATTGGTGTTTGGGGTGGGAGCAGGGAAGCAGGGACCTATGGAGGGAAGCTCCTTCTGGCAAACAAGATAAGTAGCACCATAGGGAGGTGACCCTGGCACAAGAGTATCGCCAGGAGGTCTAGGAGGAGCTGCTCTCTGCCCTCCAGGGCTTGACCTGCTGAGTCTTCAAAGTCCTTGTTAGGCAAAGCCCAGGAGAACTTGTTTAGATGAGTCAGTTTCTTGTGATTTTGCTTTTCAAAAAGGGCTGCTTGTTTTGGTTTTCACACATTGCTGTTACCTGGAAATAAATGAGTATTTGGAATTGTTCCAATAGCTCAGCCCATTAGGTGTGAGAGGCTGCCTGGCTAGTTTGATGATCTACTTCAGTGGTAATCTTGAGTGACTTCAGTAAAATTGCAGCTAGAAAGAAGTCCAGTTATCTACCAGTACTTTTGGAACTTTTGTCTTAAAATTTTTTCTTGTCTTGTCAGGCTTGTTAGGAACATATTTATGGTGGTTCATGTTATCATTTAAACCTCACCTGTCCCATTCCTGTGGTTCGTTGTGGAAGAAGTGCGAAGGCTCTGACTTCTCTTTTGTTGGTCTCTTAATGCTTTGTGGCTGAAGAGAACTCAGCAATTCAGCTTTTTCTGGGCATTGTTTGTAGGCATTGGCAGTAGGCCACCCACTAGATTGCATCCTTGTTTTTGTTTTTCTTCATTGGAGAACTTGGTGTTTATGTTAATTTAAGTCACTCAGAGAAGAAGAAAATTAGACTGAACAGTGTTTATTCTGTGGTTGGCAGCTAAGAGCATGGTGGTGGGAGAATAAAACAGAATTGGAAGGAACTTTTTTCATTCAAACCTTCCTGCTACAACAGGTTCTAGAAGCTCTAGGAGACACATCTATATTGAGCATCTTGGTGTTTACTGTGTCTGCCATCAATCTTAAAAAAGGTTTCTTTTTCTATAGGAAAATGTCTTTGACATTCTCTACAAATCAAAGAAGTCTGTTTCAAAGGCTAACCTCTGTGACGCCTTTTGTTTTCCCCAGGAAAATATATTGTGTTCTTCTTTTACCCTCTTGACTTCACCTTTGTGTGTCCCACGGAGATCATTGCCTTCAGTGATAGGGCAGAAGAATTTAAGAAACTCAACTGCCAAGTGATTGGTGCTTCTGTGGATTCTCACTTCTGTCACCTGGCATGGTAAATTTCTTGGTCCATTTGGCATGTGGACATTTAAAGCAGCAACTGGGAGGCTTTGGCAATAGACTTTCTCAAGTATTGGCTTGTGGCTCCTCATAGAAGGGAGTGCAATGGCTCTGACTTCTTCCGGTTGCTCTTTTATTACTGGCAACAGAGGAGAAACAGATTGAGTTGCAGCTCAGTGTAACCTGGTGAGTGACCTTAACTGTTGTCAGTCATTCACTTTACTGCTAGAAAAAGTTTTAAGTTGTTTGGGAAAGTTAGATTAGGAATCTTGGAAAGGGGAAGGAATAGGTATAGTTAATGTTTTTGCTACAGAGTTTATATGAATGTGATTGTATGTGTACCTTCTTCTGTAGGATTAACACACCCAAGAAACAAGGAGGACTGGGACCCATGAACATTCCCTTGGTATCAGACCCCAAGCGCACCATTGCTCAGGATTATGGGGTCTTAAAGGCTGATGAAGGCATCTCGTTCAGGTATGTACCTTTGTGGCGGGGGTGGGGTGGAGGTTTAACATTGATCAGGAGGATTATCCAATAGGCTGAAAACTATTTGGAGAAAGCTAGAGCACTGATCTGGAGAGACTTCTTCCTCATTTCATTCTTTTATGCAGGAGCCTCTTCACTAAGGGCAAGGTCAGTACAAGTCCTAGAGAACCAGCCCATTTCTTTAGCAATTCAGGCTTCTTCATTCTAACAAAACAGATTTCTAAACCTGTAATGCCGATTCAATTCTTTTTTTTTTTTGTCTTTTTTCCGTGTCCGGCAACGGATTGCAACCCTCAGTGTTGCCCCCGTACCGGACCGGGGACCGGCGACGGGATCGCAAGCCTCGGCGTTGCTCCCGTGCCTCGCTCAGCCAGTGAGCGGGAGCCGGTCTGTACGTGGGATCCGAACCCTCGGACGGGAGCGCCGCCGCGCTTCCCAAGCGGCGCACTATCCAGTGCGCCACCGGGCCGGCCCCTCAATTCTTCAATCTCTTTCCCACAGGGGCCTCTTTATCATTGATGATAAGGGTATTCTTCGGCAGATCACTGTAAATGACCTCCCTGTTGGCCGCTCTGTGGATGAGACTCTGAGACTAGTTCAGGCCTTCCAGTTCACTGACAAACATGGGGAAGGTAAGCCATCTGCCTGATAACAGGACAACAGAGGAGTGGTAGGGTGGAAAAGATGGTATGAACAAAGGCTATCAAATAAAAAGAAAAGGGTGATATGTATCTTCAAGGAATTGAAATCTCTGGATTAGGTGGGTTGTGGGGGTAATGGAAACCCTTGCGGAGGAGAATATAAAGGCTTTTTGTTTGAACTGTATACTCCCCACTTCTGCCTGTTCATGTAGAAAATCACTGCTACAGATCTAACATTCTGGAGTGTAGGAGGACCTTACAGATGTGACAGGGCAAAACAAAAGGTAGAGAATGACATCTAGAGATAAAGTATGGCATTTTTGGCAACTGTTTATTGGGAGAAGAACTTAATCCCTTTAGTTTTTATTTGTTTCTATTGGGGTTTGAAGAAAATAAAGGTAATATGCCCAGCTTTGAAATTTGTGGGGTTTTTTTTTTTTTTTTTTTTCAGTGGCTGGCTGGTACAGGGATCAAACTTGTGACCTTGGTGTTATCAGGACCATGCTGTAATCAACTGAGCTAACCGGCCAGTCTCCAGTTTTGAAATTTGGAAAATAAAAGTAGGACTAAGATAACAACCCAAAGATAATAGGCAGATATAGTTAATACATTTCTACTGTTTAAAAATCCATTCCTGGGCCGGCCTGTGGCTCACTTGGGAGAGTGTGGTGCTGATAACACCAAGGCCATGGTATAGGGATGACCGGTTGGCTCACTTGGGAGAGCAGGGTGCTGACAACACCAAGCCAAGGGTTGAGATCCCCTTACTGGTCATCTTTTTCCCCCTTTTTTTTTTTTTTTTGTCTTTTTTCGTGACCGGTAACGGGATCGCAACCCTCGGTGTCGCGCCCGCACCACGCTCAACCAGTGAGCTGACCGGTCTCTATATGGGATCCGAACCCTCGGTGGGAGCGCTGCCGCACTCCCAAGCACCGCACTCTACCGAGTGCGCCACCGGGCCGGCCCTAAAAATAAATAAATAAAAATAAAAATCCATTCTGCTATACAATTTGATAGTTGTGTTTGTAAGAATTGCAGTTATTAAAATACCAAATTATATAAATGTTTAATATAGAAACTTTAAAAAAGGTGGGGTGGGCTAGCTAGTTTCAGGTAAAATATCAAGGTTTTTCATTGTAAGTCTCTTGTAAGTCTGTCCTTGTAGAACCTAAACACGACTGTGCACATTCAACTTCTGGTTTTTATGTAGCCATTTGCTAGAGTGTAGGCTCTTCTTTTCCTTTAGCCCAAGTACTGGTACTTTTCTCCTGTGTTCTGATACTGTTAGGATGATAAAGTGCAGAATCACTTGATCCAGGCTTTTGAGTTATAAGGCTGTAGCTCTTTGACTCTCTCTCCTTTTTGAGTGTGATTGTTGCTGGAATGAGACAACCTTATCCCAACTAAGAGCTTAGTGTTTTTTTTTTTTGTTTTTTTTTTTTTTGTCTTGTCTTTTTCCATGTCCGGCAACGGATCGCAACCCTCAGTGTTGCCCCCGTACCGGACCGGGGACCGGCAACGGGATCGCAACCCTCAGTGTTACTCCCGTGCCTCGCTCAGCCAGTGAGCGGGAACTGGTCTGTATGTGGGATCCGAACCCTTGGGCGGCAGCGCCGCCGCGCTTCCCAAGCGGCGCACTATCCAGTGCGCCACCGGGCCGGCCCCAAGAGCTTAGTTTTTAACTCAGCTCTTGAAACAGCAAGTGCTGGGTATGTAGGGGGAATGGGGATCTTGAACTCTCCTTCCACCTTAATGTAATTGAGGATAAGATAATTCTGACCAAGTGTTATTGCCATAAGATCAAGGGCACAGGTGGTGGACTTGGACAAATTTCTATCCTTACTACATCTCATTTTCTTTCTCTGGAAGATAAGTCATTCTTACTAGCTTTCAAGACCCATTTTACCTCTATTCTTGTGATATAAAGAACATGAAGTTGTTAGAGTCTGTATTAGTGGTGTGTGTTTGGGGGACCCACAAGTGCTAGCTTGGCTGGAGTGGAGGTCTGACAATAGAGATTGGTGAGCACTGATACCAGGAGGCACCATTTGCAGAAGTATGTGTGGGCATTAGTCTGGTCTAATGAAAGTGCTGACCGCTGCTGAGACTGCCCCCTGGTGGGGGAATGAGATTCAGCACTAAGACAGGAGTGGGGAGTGGCAAAGTAGGCCCTTCACTAGACTTCCCTGGGGCCTTGCATGTAGGCTAGACTTTTGAACCCAAGCTTTTGTGACTGCAAAGCCTGCTTCTTCAGACTCTATATTGGTCTCTGTTGTTTCCCATCGCATTAGAACAGGCACAGACAGCTCTGTGTGTAGCCTTTTCAATAGTCACCATTTGAGAGCCTGTGAATGCCAAACACTCTAACCTAGATACTTTCAGGTGTTAAGTTTATTTAACAAATAATTCTACACTCTTTTTTAAGGACCAGTAAACCAATACTTTAGTACACACCATTTGCAATCCGTATTCAAAGTCTCCCATCTTTTTTAGGTAATTCAAATGCTGAAAAAGACATCATTTAGGGCCTTCTGTGCTGGGGCGGTTCTCATACTATAGTTACGATGACTGTTGTCATGACATTTTTTAGTTGCATTTGAAGGCTGGTTTATGTGGGACACAACCACTTCTGCTGGGATCCATGTTGGTTCTGAAAAACCAAAACTATTTAGTATGAATGAAACATCTATGTGGGGATCTTTCTGTCATTAATTCTAGTATGGTTGTAGAGCCATGAGGCCTTAGTGCTAAGGAGACGGAGTTGGCAAGGTCCTTCTTTCTGGTGAGGCCCAGTTCTGTGTGTCATCCTAGACAGAGGAGTCTTTTGTTCCCTCGTTAGGACCTACTGGCAAACTTGTGGCTGGCTCTGGCCTGGTATTTGCTTTCATGCTACTCTGTTCTGTGCAGCTTGTTTATGTTTAGGACCAGTTTTAACCCTTCAGTGCCACTAAAGCCAATAACTTATAATAATCAGGTGGAGAGTTCAGGAAAATGATGGCAGCTGGGCCTCCCATTTAGCTCTTGTTCATCTATACTTTGTGCCCAGATTGCTGTTTGCAGAGTCTGATATCTGAGACTATGATGTCCTTGGATCAAAAGGTGCTTCCCTATGTCTCACTTGAGCAAATGAGACTCTTGCTGCTTCGTTACTGGACTTTGGCGACTAGATGTCTCCTGGAAGATGACAGCAAATTAAAGTAGAAAAATCAGAGATTGGTCCCCTTGCCTCACTTTACTTGGACTAGACCAAGGCCCATTTAGCTCAGGATTGTTGGGAAAAGGTTGATGGCTATGCATTTTGTGTAAGTGCATGAAAGATTCAAACCCTGCTTTTTGCTTACTAAGGGGTAGAAGGCAGTTACTTAATGAAACAAGAAGGGACGTCTGTAGAGGTCCTCCTCCTTTGTGGTTCAGGCTCTCCAGTTCAGCATAGCAGAAGAACGCTGAGTTGCCTTCAGATCTCTGAAGGGCTGGCTGCCAGAGGGAAGCAGCAGTTTAGTGTTAATGGGCTTATCCAGTCCTGGCTTTGTCATTTATTTAGCTTGTTTTTTGTGTTTGTTTTTTTTCCCTTGGAGGGGAAGGGAGAGGATGGTGATGGTGCTAAATAATTAAGCTTTGCCTTTTTTTTTTTTTTTGGAAAAATTTTATTGTAACACATACAAGGGGTCTTAAAAAAGTTCATGGAAAGATTCGTATTATCTTTCATTTCTATTTTTCCATGAGCTTTTTGATGTGCCCTCATACAACATAATTTGCCTTTTTTTTTTTTTTTTTTCCCTTTTTGTCTTTTTTTACTGACCGGGATCGCAACCCTTGGTGTTGTGCCCGGACCGCGCTCAGGCAGTGAGCGGGAGCCAGTCTCCACATGGGATCCGGCGGGAGTGCTACCGCGCTCCCAAGCGGCGCACTCTCCATTGCGCCACCTGGCTGGCCCCATAATTTGCCATTTTAAGTGTACCATTTAGTGGCATTAATTACATTCATAATGTGTATCCATCACCAGTATCTATTTCTAGAGCTTTCTTTTTTTTTTTTTGTCCTTTTTGAGACCGGCCACATCGCGCTCAGCCAGTGAGCGCTGTGAGCGCACAGGTCATCCCTATATGGGATCCGAACCCGCGGCAGGAGCGCTGCTGCTCTCCCAAGTGCGCCACGGGCTCGGCCCTAGAGCTTTCTTTTTTAATCATTCCTGAGTTAGTAACCATTAAGCAGTAACTCCCCATTTCCCCTTGGTAATCTCTGTTTTACTATACTCTATGGATTTGCTTATTCTAGATAGATCCTATAAGTGAAATCATACAAGATTTGTCCTTTTGTGTTGGTTTTTTCACTTAGCATAATGTTTTTAAGGTTCATATTATAGCATGAGTCAGAACTTCATTTGTCTTTATGGCTGAATAATATTCCATTGTATGTATGTACCACACTTTGTTTATCCATTCATGTATTGATGGACACTTGGTTGTTTCCACCCTTTGGCTATTGTGAATAATGCTGCTGTAATATTGGTGAACAAGTATCTGTTTGATTCTTTGTATCCAGTTCTTGTGGGTATATACCCTAGGAGTAGAATTGCTGGGTCAGGTGGTAATTCTATGCTTAGCTTCTTGAGGAACCACCAAACTTTTCCACAGTAGTTTTGATCTGCAATTCCCTGATGACTAGTGATGTGGAGCATATTTTCATGTGCTTATTGTCCTTTTGTATATCATCGATTCAAGTCTTTTGCCAATTTTTGAATTGGGTTGTCTTTTTGTTGTAGGAGTTCTTTGTATATTTTGGATCTTAATCCATACATAATTTACAAATGTTTTCTCCCATTCTGTGGGTTGTCTTTACACTTTCATGATAATGTCCGTTGATGTAATGAAGTTATTAATTTTGATAAAGTCCCAATTTATCTGTTTTTTCTTTTGTTGCTCGTGCTTTTGGTTGTTATATTTAAGAAACCATGGCCAAATCCCAGGTCATGAAGATTTTCCTGTTTCCTCAGAGTTTTAGCTCTTATATGCCTTTGATTCATTCTTGTTAATTTTTGTATATGGTGTGTAGGGGTCCCACTTCATTCTTTTATCAGGTGAACTCCAGCACCATTTGTTGAAGAGCATTTAAGCTTTTGGAGGTCAGGGTAGGGCGGCTGGCAGGTAATGGGATCTGAGCCCTTGACACTGTGCCCTAACCAAGTGAACTAACCAGCCAGTCCCTTAAGCTTTTTTAAAAAAGAAGTATTTGGGGCCGGCCCCGTGGCTCATTTGGGAGAGTGCGGTGCTGGTAGCGCTGAGGCCGCAGGTTCGGATCCTATATAGGGATGGCCAGTGTGCTCACTGGCTGAGCGTGGTGCAGACCACACTGTGCTGAGGGTTGCGATCCCATTACTGGTCAAAAAAAAAAAAAAGTATTTGAAGCATACATAAAATTATGGAGAACACATGAGAGAACCCATTTACCTATTACCTATTGTTACCAAATCTTAACATTTTACCATATATACTTCAGATTATTTTTAAAAACAAAGTATACAGTTGAAGCTGTTAATTTCTTTAAATTTCAGATGCTACGTGAATAAATTTGGTGTAATATATCAGGGCTGTGATAAGGATTAAAATATATTGTGTTTTAAAGTAGCTAGCCTTATACTAAAAGGCTCGATGATTTTAGACAAATTGAGGGTAGTTTTCCTGATGCCTTGAGTGTTCAGACTCTTCAGGGCTCAGATCTGGTTTTGAAGCAACCCTTTGTCCATGGGAGGGCGCTGTTACACACTATTGAGCAGGTTATTAATTAGTGATACCTTTTTCTTACAGTGTGCCCAGCTGGCTGGAAGCCTGGCAGTGATACCATCAAGCCTGATGTGCAAAAGAGCAAAGAGTATTTCTCCAAGCAGAAGTGAGCGCTGCTGGGCCGGCCCGTGGCTCACTCGGTAGAGTGCGGTGCTGATAACACCAAGGCCCCGGGTTTGGATCCCATATAGGGATGGCCGGTTAGCTCACTGCGTGAGCGTGGTGCTGACAACACCAAGTCAAGGGTTAAGATCCCCTTACCGGTCATCTTTAAAAAAATAAAATAAAATAAAAATAAAAAAAAAATAAACCTAACATGATTTAAATGTGGCACAATGTAAACCTTGAACATTACTGTTTAATTTTGAGATCTGAATTGATGACCTTGGCCTCTGTGATGAACTTGAACTCTGTGTAAGATGGAGATTTTGTCACCTAACCTACTGAAGGCAAGAGACAGGACCAGATGATAGTAGTTTCATATGGCAAAATAAGGTTTTAAGTCTGTCAACAAACAGGAATAGGGCAGCCATGAGAATAAAACCTCTTTTGTACTTTTTTCATGCTTAAAACATGAGACTTTAGATTCAGCCAAGATGTGTGATACAGGACACGCCCTTCCTACAGGGGTTTGGGAGGCCAGCCTTTCTTCCCTTGGGTGGGAATGGCCTGAGCTGTGTTGTGGGGAGGCCATCTGATGTGTATGATGTACAAGTAGTGGGACATCAGCCCATTGATCTTTTGTAGTTTCTATTAAACTTGAACTGAAACCTTGATGATTCTTCATTTTGGGGGGCATTAGCCTTTGACTTGGAGAGCTTTCCTTTCCTTTCCTTTCTCTTTGCTTTGCTTCTTTATGGGAAAATGGGCGTGACCTGGCTCAGAATCATGGAATTGTACTGAGGGGAAATAGAGGTAGACGTAGGGAATGGAACTGAACCAAGGTGTTACATTTCGTTTCACTACATCTAGGGGAGAAGAGCCAGCCCTACTCTAGTGTTGGCCAGGCACTGTAACTTATGCCAGGATTGGGTTGCAGTTTAAGGTCCCAATGAGATTACTTGGACTTCTGTGTTTACACTACTGGCAGGAGGGATGCATGGGAAACAGAAGCTTGGCCTCTTTTGATAAGTGCTTTTTCTACTCTAAAAGAACAGAGTTAGACTTTTATCCCTTTTGAACTTAAAGGGGGAGGGAAGGTAAAACACAGGGCTGGTGGCCTTGGGTAGGGCTTTCAGTAGCAGAAGTAGACTGCTGAGCACTTCTCACCTTCTCTGGTTTCTAGCCTTCATCAAGAACAGTCCTTTTTAATCTCATCCACATCACTGTCCTGAGGGAAGTTGTCAGCAGGGAGAAGTTAGGATCCTTGAGGGTTCTTGAGACTAGGGTAGATTCAAAACTGAATCCTCCTGTGTATCTTGTGGTGCCATTCCAGACACAGCTTTATCAGCTACTTCAAACCTGTCCACCCCTCCAGAACCTAGGCTAGACCTATGAGCAACAGTGCAGGATTCCCAGGGCTTTTAGTAACAGCCAACATACTGCTTACTACATGCCAGGCACTGTTTCAAAGTGCTTTACATGTATTTATTCAATCCCCACAGCAACCCTAAGAGGTGGGTTCTATTTAGGGGATGGTTGCCCCTCAGGCCCTGTAACAGGTAGAATCTTAGTAACAGAGGCAAGTGTCATGTATTCCAAGGCAAGTAGGAATTCTGATTCTGCCTTGGTCATTGACTTGTCTTGACCAAACCTGACTTCCTTGTGCCTTATTATCCTCATTGAAGATGTCTATAATTATGAAAACTAGTTATCTCGTACCCAAAATAAAACTTCTTAGAAAAAAAAAAGCCTCTCTTGCTTTGTCAAAACCAATTAAGTCCTAGCAAGTACCACCATAAATAAAGATCCCACAGGGGAAGAAGGTATCAAGGGCCAGGGGATGCAGGTGGTGAGACCCTGGGGCTGAGCCAACCCCTGGCTCTTCTGGGATTTGGAGCCTTGGGGGTGAGTGTGGTAAAGGGAAGCCTGGGGGATGCAGGGCTAGGTTCCTTTGAGGTTTGGGCTAAGCCCAACAGGGCTAAGCGTTGGGCAGGAGGAGTGGAAAAGTAGGCCTTCTGCTCTTCTGAGTAGCGCTCCTGGGGTGTCACAGCATCCCGGTAAGTCCAGTCACGCCAATGGAAATTGAAGCCTTCAAGCAGAGTGATACGGTCAGCTCTTGTAGGTACACAGTCAGGGGGCTTTCTGGGTGGCAGATCTGGCACCTGTATCCCTGGCAGCAGCACCACTCCTCGGATGGCAAACCAGCCCCCAAATCGGGGGTGTATGCACACACCTGATATGTGCTGAGGAGAGGGTGAAGAAAAGCAAGGTCATGAAGGTCACCTTGGCACCAAGTTCAACTACCATCACTGCAAGCTGGATTTGTTCACTTATTTCCCATTCAATAAACATGATTCCACATGTAAACCTCTGTCCCTCTTCTGGACAACCCTTTCAAAAATCATCAAGGGGCAGCCCGCGGCTCACTTTGGAGAGTGTGGTGCTGATAACACCAAGGCCATGGGTTCGGATCCCTACATAGGGATGGCCAGTTCGCTCACTTGGGAGAGCGTGGTGCTGGCAACACCAAGTCAAGGGTTAAGTCATCTGACCATGAGGAAGGGCTCTCTTAGACTGAGCTTCAGTCAACTTCCCAGTCTCACCACTGGTCTGATCACTGCTCTGCTCTCTCCACCCTGAGATAGCCCTGTAAGACAGGGTTTTAAGAACTGACCACATTTTCTGACCTGATGTGTCCCCAGGTAAACTCCAGAAAGCATGTGATGGGGCTGGCCACCTGAGTACACAGCTTCTTTGTCCTGGATTGTCTACCAACTCCTTCAACCAGGGAAGGTGGAGAAATGTGAATGTGGGACATGATAGGGGTATCTTGAGGGGCCTTTACCCTTTTCTCAGTCCCCTCTCATTCACACTTGCCCTCTGACCTGGGTCCCCCACGGGTCAGCCTCCACATCTTGTCGCTGGTAGTAGTAAGCAGCCCCTGCCACATGGGCTGCTGTCTGGGCCAGAATCTTGGGTCGCCGGTTGGGGTGTACCTCATAGTCAGCAATGACTTCCATCTGCAGCTCTGGGAGGTTCTGGAACACAGGACAAGATAGCGGCTCCTGTCAGCATTAGGGGAGTCATGACCTTGTCCTACGGAGCCCTAATTTGTGTGTGTGTTAACATGGTCTTGTCCAGAAATCCCATTTGAATCTCATGACCTCAACCTGAGGGGCTCCAGTGTGAAAAAAGGTACATTTCTTTCCAGGAGGGCCCATGTTTGAAGGGAAACACACAAAGTCTTGCTCAGAAGTCTCTTATAAGGGGCTGGCCTGTGGCTCACTTGGGAGAGTGCGGTGCTGATAACACCAAGGCCATGGGTTTGGATCCCTATATAGGGATGGCTGGTTAGGTCACTTGGGAGAGTGTGGTGCTGACAACACCAAATCAAGGGTTAATCGATCCCCTTACCGGTCATCTTTAAAAAAAAAAGTAATCTCCATTATGAGGGGTGACTTGGCCCTGCCTTCCAGAGTCCCAGTGTGGAGGGAGACATGGCCCAGCTTTGGGGAGACCCAGTGTGTGTGTGTGTACATGCATATGTGTATATGTGAATGTTTGGTGGGGGAATATTGTTCAGTCCTCAAAAGGCCCTGAACACAGGATAAAGCTTGCAGGTGTAGGGCAAAGGCAGGTGAGCAGTGCCTGGGGGATGTTGGGCTCAATCCTATTCCTCTTGGAGGGCAAGGGAAGCCTGGTCTGAAGTTCATATAGTTGCCCATTAGTGTAGGGTGAGTGAGACTGATTTCAGACTGTGGGTCTGCTAGAAGAAGGCGGTGGAACCTGGGTGTGAGAAGGCAGGATGGGGAGAGAGCGTGGAAGGTCAAGGCTGGCTTTAGGGTATCTTTTCATCTGTGAAGTGGCTCCTAACTCTAGGTCTAGATCCTGCAGTGAGTTTCGAGGACCTGGAAGCAGCAGTAGGTTTGGAAGCTGGGGGAATGTTGAACCCTGCTCACCTCTCTAACACGGCCCAGGTGGTAGGCCACACACTGGTCCACAGGGTCAGTCAGCGGTTGGAGGTGGCAGCTCTGTAAGAAGGGCTTGAGGGCCTGGTCAAACATGGCAGGCGTGCTGAGTACCAGGAAGGCCAGGGTAGGTCCTGGCAGGGGCAGGTGGAAGACTGGAGGCAGGAGTTCATTGTACCATGCCACCTGGAACAGAGAGAAAGTTCAGGCCAGGCTGGAGGACCAGCCTACGCTTTAGCCAGGCCCATATCTTAGTCTGGTATTCAAGGCCTCATACATCTTGCCCCTACTTCCATCTCATTCATTCAATGAATTTTCACTGATGCTGTGTGATGTATGTTTATGGGGAACTTATTTGGATTTGACAGGGAATTTAAACTAGAGAGGCAGAGAGTTCATGAACAACTAAGAACAATAGAAATTGACTCTACTATGATTAGTACAATGATGGGGCCAGATGAGGGTCCTTTAAGACAAGGCTTTCTTGAAAGCTGAGCCTTAAAAGCTAGAAAGGAAACTAATAGGCTGACTTGGAGAGGGAGAACCTGCTGTGTATTTTAAAAAGAGGTCACAGCATAAGTAAAGACAGAAAAATACTGGGTATATTTGGAGAAGAGAAAATTGTCTAGTTTGGTGGAAGTGAAGGGTCCGTAGAGGGGAGCAGAGGGAAAGAAGGCTGGAGAGATCAGTGTGAGTGAGATTGTGACTGGCCTTGAATACCAATTTAAGGAGTATGGATCTAATTTGGTGACCATGAGGAGCCACTGAAGATAGAAGGAGTAAACTGACATGATCAGTTTTAGAAAGATCAATTTGGCTGCAGTGTGGAGGGTGGATTGGAGGCAAAATGACAGCAAGGAGGTTATTACAGTAATCCAAATGAGAAATAGTGGTCTGGCCCAGAATATAGAGGGGTAGGATGGAATGGAATGGATTTGGGAGATTCAGGACTCTTATAGGTCTCTGCACCCGATTGGATGTGGAGGTGGGGAGGTGAGAGGTGAGAGCCTAGGATGACTGACAGGGCTGCAGCTGACTGTTCAGTACAGTAGCTCCCATTATCCAGGTCTACCTGACCCTCCAGATAGGCGTTCTTACTCTCCGCCACACCTGCCATCCACCACTACCTCCATATCTTTACTCAAGCTTTCTTGATGTTTGGGATGTACATAACCCTCCTTCTTTCCAATCCATCTTCTTATATATAGCTCAATTCCATTTTTTTCTAACAAGTCCTCTCTCAAGCTAGACCCAATCTACTTCTCCCTCTATATCCTCCCCCAGCACTGCTGTGAACCACTCAGAGGAAGGAGTGGGAAGTGGGCTGTCTCTTAAGCTTCAGGCAAAGGGCTCAAGCTGAGTTGATTTAGCTTTGGGTCTTAAATATATACAGCTCAGTGTGCGGGGCACTGACATGGGAGAAATGGACCTATGTAAATGGGGGTTATAGTGCGGGGAGTGCAGAGACTACGGTGCCAGGCGGGTGCCCAGAGTTTCTATACCCAGCCCAGCACTGATGATTGGCAACAACATGAATTATCCTTTTGTTGGTAGATGAAACAAACCAGCCGATTGTTTGCTCGTTCAACACCAGGAACGCCCTTCCCTCCTCAGCTGACCTAGATAGCCATGCAACTTTCTAGGCCTTGCCCTCTTCTAATTCCGTTAGGAAGCTTCCAAGGTGACTCTGGTCCCACAGGTCCCCTTCTTCCTGTAAATTATGTAGGTGACAATCAGATCCACACAAGTTACTGGATCGTAGCGTGTCTCAGATTCATCAACCCGGCATATATGGGACAAATGTGAGACTGCTTCTCTACCTTTTTAATCCAAGTCCCCGATGACACCCTGTCCCAGTCGTCACATGGACACCAGGTCGGAGGAGGTAGGGGAGGATCAGAAGGCTTCAGGGGCCTCACGCCGGTTGCACCGAGGCCAATCAGACACCTAGCCCTAGAACCGCAGGAGGGATAAACCAACCTGAAAGGGGTAAACCTCGAAGCCGAAAGGACACAATGTGTCCTCAATCTTCTGCTTCAGCTCTGCGACTTGCGGCTCCATAGCCCAAGCTGCACGCTGAGCTTGCTGGGGAATGGAGTCTCAAGGATAACCGGGACGTCGTGTTTCGAGCTAGCTTGGACTCCATTTCCCAGGAACCACTGGGACCAGCAGCGGGCACTAGTTGGCTCCGCGCGATGTATCTTGGGATACATAGTTCGTTTGGTCCTCGAAGCCAATTACTACAGTACCAGGAAGACTCGGTTTCCCGGCAAGCTTCACGGTGGGGTGTGACTGCAAGTGTCGCTTCCAGGGAAGCGTAGTTCTGCTTCCTCCATAGCCGGTTGTTTCCGCGTGAGGCGAACTCAGTTTCCCAGGTGGCCCTGCGGCAACCAGCACAGTCAGACTTTCCCAGCCTATCAGAGGGTTTGAACCCTACGGCGGTCACACGTTTGGCGCGATGTTTCCAGTGTCCTGGATCTGGGGCGGTCTCGACCAAGATTCGGTGCCTTCAACTCCCACCTGATATCTGCATATCAGGGCATCCCGCTTTTCTCACAGTTTCCCAGGAGCGCAGCTCCCTTGGCTAGTTCCAGAGTCGCAGTTTTGGTCTGATATTGTAGCCCTACCCTTCCTCTAGTATTGCATTCCCACTCCTCTCTTTCGACCTGACGTTGTGGCCTTTCCTGTGCTGCACCTCGGGTATTTCTGGCTGGGAGAGCAAGGACACAAGACGCCAGGGAGCCAGACTCCTGCCATAGGATATGAGTAGGAGCCTGAGCTGGTCTGAGCAGCTTGATGCGCTTCTCAATGCTACTGATGGAAATGTGGCCCGGATTAAGGTGAGGTGGCACCAGAGGCTCCCCAGTTTGTGGGGACAGGTTGAGGGACTCTCAGAGCTCATTGGCCTGTGTAACTGTTTCTTTTGTAGCAGCGGCTGTATCCCCTTGGGGTCTCCACCGCAGGTAAGTGTCCTTTTCTACTCTCCAGCCTTTTCTCTTTCTGAGATCTGCTTTCTTCCGATGTCTGTATTATCGACTACTCCTTCCAGCTTCCACCTCTTTCCTTTCCTGAACTCTGTCCCCCACCCATAACCCTCACTCCCTCCCAGACTCTGCAGTTGTCCCTTCCTTATTCCCTCAGCTGGGGATCTGGCTGGGACTTGGATTTCCCATCACTTGCATCCCCAGTCAGGAGTTCAAGCTCAACAGCCTTGGTATCAAGAGACTCCCACTGTCCCAGAGAGGCTGAGATGGGCTGGGACCTACAGTCCCTCCTCTCTCTGGGATGAAGTTACTATTCTCCGATCCCAGCTTCAATCTCAGGCTCAGGTGAGGCTTGGAATCCTATTCACAAATCCTTGTGAATATGTGGTGTTTGTGTGAGATGAGAATACTAGGGGTTGGGAAAGCCTCTTACACAGTACCTCATGTGTTTTTCTACTTGAGTAGGTGACTGAGGCACTAAGACAGGCTGTGCAGGGCCTACTGGAAGAGCAAGAGCAGCAGAAGTACCAGATCAGTACTCTGGAAGGTATATGGCCAGTTCTTTTGTATGCATATGTACAGCTTCATATGTATGCACACAATTTTGCCACATACCTGTTGTGTGTGCATATGTGTCTTGATTTACAAGTAGAGTGTCTGGGCTCATGTGTGAAGCTCCTACAGGGGCTGACTCCCAACTTGCCCCACTACAGCATCATTAAAGTTGCTGCAGAGAGGCCCAGAGGGGAGGGCCCTTCTCCTGGAGCAACACCTGGAGAGGCTGAGAAGAGAACTGGAGGGTCTTCGGTACCTGGTGCAGGAGCAGGCCCAAGCCCAAGCCCAAATGCGAACAGGACCAGGAAAGTGCAGTACTACCAGTGTTGTTCACCAGGAGCTGCAGACTGAGTAAGTGATGGGCAAAAACTCACCTTCTTGAGGCCTCTGAACTCTTGGCACTCTGGGATGCTGGTGGCCTCCTTACTCTGGGCTTGTTGATTGACTCTAGAATGACACTGCTGTCACTCCTGCAGGCGGCAGCTGCTGTGGGAAGAATCAAAGATTCTACAGGAGTTAAAGTTGCTGCGGGACCAGCTAAGTAAGTAGAAGATTGGGAATGAGTATGTGTTTCATTGTCCCCTTTTCAGGAAAACCTTCCTGCTCTCCCAGTAAGTAGTCATAGCTCTGACTGCTTGAGCTACTGAGAAGTTTGGCTAAGTATTTTGTCTTGCTCTTTCCCTCTCACGTTGTGAGTTTAGTCTCTCTAGTCAGCTTGGAAGCTTCCCAACAGCTAGATGAGAATGCTTCTGTCTCAGTTTTCAGCACCAGGCTAGTTACAAGGCAGGGAGTGAGAAGGAAAGAAATTGAGGAACATTCCCCTTAGATTCTCTCTCTTTTTTTTTTTTTTTTAAAGATGACCGGTAAGGGGATCTTAACCATTGTCTTGGTGTTGTCAGCACCACGCTCAGCCAGTGAGCGAACCGGCCATCCCTATATGGGATCCGAACCCGGGGCCTCGGTGTTATCAGCACCGCACTCTCCCGAGTGAGCCACAGGGCCGGCCCCCAAAATGGGTTTTCTTTTTTTTTTTATTTTTATTTTTTGGTGTTGTCAGCACCACGCTCAGCCAGTGAGCGAACCGGCCATCCCTATATGGGATCCGAACCCGGGGCCTCGGTGTTATCAGCACCGCACTCTCCCGAGTGAGCCACGGGCCGGCCCCCCTTACATTCTCTTTAATCTGCAGGCCAGCACCAGGAGCTGCTGCTCAAACAGATAACTAAGGGGCGGCAGGCTCAGGCCCGCAGCTGGAAGGTAGGACCAGGATCAGACCTGTCTTCTCATATTTCCCCGTAGAGGCCCCTTCCTTTCTCTGTCTACCTGTTCTGCAGGTAGACTAGCATGCCCTCTCCTGCTCCCATCTCTATCCCTCTCTTCCCTGTGCTGACTCTGCCTTTCCCCAAAGCTCTTCTTCCCAGTCACTTTGCTCCTGGCCATGAGATACTGTCCTGGCCAACATGAGAGCTGCAAGCATGCTGAAAAGGCCAATTGTGGGGAGGGGGTTTTATCCTGGAGATGGACAGGTTTGTTCCTACCTGGGCCCATGGTCTGGCAGATGTTGGAGCAGCTGCAAAGTGGCCAGGAGGCCAAGGGTCACGCCCTGGAAGCTGCCAGGACAAAGGCTCAGGATGCCTGGTGGGAGCATGACCTCCTCAGGTCAGGGGGTATGGATACTGTGGCAGTGGAGGGGATTTGTATCATATAGGTCAGGCACTGGGGACCAAAGTTCAGCTATCCTAGATTTGGCTTGGGCCGGTATGGGCAATATCAATATCTGGCTTGTAGCATTGGCTGGTATGGGCAATATCAATATCTGGATTGCAGCATTTGGCATTCTTTACTTTATACAGAGTCACTGAGGTATCTTTATGTATTTGGATGGTAAAAGAGGAGGACACTGGAGTCCTGGCCTCAGGCAGCAGGGCAGTTCTGTGTTGGGAGGGCCCCCTTGACACATCACCATCTCTGTCTCTGTTTCCCTTCCCAGGACCTCCATTCATGTCCTCCAGTCTAGGCTACCCCTGGCCACCACCTTCGCCATGTCTCTTTTTCAATCTAGCTCTGAAGTCAGCCTTCTGGACAGAAACAGTAGCTTCCCAGCTACTTTTAAGGAAGCTAGGTGGGGGTAAGGGCAGGAAACCCAGTTTTGGGGGAGGCTGAGTCTGAATGGTGCCTGAATGTCAGCAGCCTAATTGTTTGGCAGTGGGTAGAATGAAGTCTCCGCCTCTTTTTTCATAATCCATCAACTTCTGTTGCTACTTATCCCAAGTCAGGCTTGTATGGTCCTCCCTCTCAGACAGGCCCAGGGCCTAGTTCTGTGCACGTCACAGTGCTTGCTGATGGTTTGTTTTCTCTTCCTTTTGTATTCCTCTTAGATTTCCAGAGGAGCACCCTTTCTAGCCTGGAGCCCAGCAGCTTCCAGCTCGATGCCCAGAGTTTTGAACAAGTTCCTTCAGGGCTCCAAGATGCTCCTGAGTGACCTGTAAGGATTTGTAAAAGTAGTGGGATGAAGCCTTCTTTGCCCACCCTCCCCTTCAAGGCCCTGTTTCTGGGCCGCCTGCCCCTCCCCTCTTGATCTAGCTGGTATTTGCCCTCTTTACTGAGGCTTCTCACTGCCTGCCATCCCTGTCCCCCAACTGCAATAAAATGGTTTAACCCTCCCTGATGTGTTTTCTGTGAATCAGCACTCACATGGGATAGACTCAGCTGTACCCTTTCTTCTTCCTGTTACTTGACTGAGACCTCTACCTCTGAAATCCAAGTTCATAGACATTTGTAGCTGTACCTTCTGAGTATAAGCTCAGTTTAATTTGGAAAGAGATGGGAGCTTCCATTGTGATGAGTAGAATGAGGCTCTGGGGCAGTAGTGCTGTGAGGATGCAGAGGAAGATGAGACATTCTGGTGGGCCCTGGACCTGGACAGTAGGAGGCTTCTTTCCTCATCTCCACCTGCTGCCTCTTGAGGCTCACTCCAGCCCCTCCATAACTCTTCAGCCTCGGCAACCCAGCCTGCATTTCTGTAGCAGCCTCCTTCCTGTTCTCTTCCCATCAAACCTCATTCTCCTATTGAAGCACATTCCAGGAATCTCCTGTCTTACATCTCTCACTGGGCAGGTGATAACATCTGGTATGATGGCATTATTCAATTCTGCTTGCTACTAGTGCTCTGCTTATTTATCAACTACTTTGCATTGGGCTCTGTGGGAGACAGGCTTGCAGGGGTGCCAGGGTTCTCAACGGAAATATTAAATAGTAATGTGGAACAATAGTATTTGAACAGTCACCAGGTGGCAGCACATGATTTGTTGCCAGAAGAACGATACCGAAAAGGCTTTGGGCCGGGGGAACTGCGCTGGGGTGATCTCTTCTCCCTTTAGAGAGGCTGTGAGCTACCAGTTAATCTTCCTAAAACAGTACCGTTTAGGTTATGTTCCTGCTCGAGAATAGCTCTCACAGCATAAGAAACAACGGACAAATTAGGCATTTAAGTTTAACCCATATTCAGCCTCTTTTCTCACCATTCTTACCTCCTTCTATACGTTTCTTAAACTATTTTTTTTTTTTTTTTTTTTTTTTCCAGCAGGAATGCACACCACCTATACTCCAATTATTTAAACCCCACTCATCTGTCAAGATCCCTGTCTTTTAGGAGGAGGGTAGTCTAAAGATGTCTGAAAGGAGTTCCCTAACACCAGGGAGTGCTTCTGCAGTGACCTATACTCCACTGTCTCTTCCTTCTCTTGACTTCCTCCTGTTCTAGTTTGCTCAGACATGAGATTATGAACTTCTGAGGTCTGGGCTTATGGAAAGCGTGAGGAAATATGTGCCAGGTGAATAGTTAGATAGAATTCTTTCCCACCCAGCTGTTTCAAAATCCTCTGTTTTTAAGCCAGCTCAAGTGTTACCTCCTTTAAGCCTTCACGAATCAAATTTCTTAGTCTAGATGAGTTGCTCTCTCCACATTTTGTTTAGTTCTACTCATTGCTCTTACTAACTCAAGTCGCTTACATATATTTATGTATCAGTTTCCCCCCTCCCTTACACTGAGATCCTGCAGGACTCCGCATTCATACTGCTTTTCCTTACTCAGCTATACTTTTACCAACTCAAAAGCCGCGCCAGTCAGGTCCATTTTCAATTGGCTTTATCAATTACCAATTGCTTCGGTGCTTGGGATTTTGATTGGACCATCTCGTGTTTGCTGTCCCGCCCTCTGAGAGGCTCCTGGACTTGAGTTTCCCCCAGGTGTATTCCCCGCTCCTCGGTTCCGCCTTCCCAACACACTGCCTCTTCGGTTTTTACCTCTATTTCCTTCCTATTGGTTCCCTTCGTCCTCCAGAGTTGGCGCCCAGGGCTGTTGATTGGCTTTTCCAGACGTCCATTGTGCCCACCTTCATACCACGTGGTACTCCTAACTCTAATTGGGCAATTGCTTTAGTTCGTTTATCAAGAATTGACGATTGATTGGCTGCTCTGAAGGAGGGCTCGAGGAGGAGGCGTGGCCACCCGAGCCCCCGCCCCCAGCCCCGGACCCCGCAGGACTGGCGTTTCAGTCGCTCGCGGCCGGGGAATCCGGCGGAGCTACAGCTGCCCTTTCGGTCTCGCTGGTTGGATAGTCCTCCTGATCCCGCCAAACAGGCGGGGGGAGCGGCCCCGACTGCAGACCATGGCAATAGCTTCCTCGTCCTTCGCCGCAGCTAGCCCCGCCGAGTCACCGGCTTCTGCACGAGGGACCCCCACCGCCTCCGCAGGCTAGGAGCCGCTGCCGCCACCGAGCTGTGAGGGCTACTATGCCCCCTTTTGGCCGCCGCCTCCTCCTCTGGCCGGCGCAGACACCCCTCTGGCTGCTCAGTCCCGCCTCAGGTAACGTCAAGGGAGTGCGTGGGGCACAAACGCGGGGCATCCCGGCCCGCGCGCGCGGCTGCTGCACCTCTGGGGTCCCGGAGCATTGGCGCTCGGGTCCCTCAGCACCCGACAGGACTCCTTGGCTCCCCAGAGGTCCCCTCTCAGGGGCTGGGGACGGGGTACTCCCCTTCTCGGCCCCTTTCCCCTTCCCTCTCACTTCCCCTGGGGTCCCGGGACAGGCCCCCAGCCTTTTTCCCTCAGAGGCCTGGAACCCATTAGAAGTTACCTCGTATCAAGGATCTGCTCCCTGACTCCTCTCAGGGACTCTCCTCACTTCAGAAATTCAGGAATCCTTCGTTTTCTCGGAAATCTCCGGTTTCAGAGACCTCCAGCCCTCCACTGAGAGCTTCCCTCGTCTCAGTACCCGCTGCTTCCTCAGGTCTGGACTCTCTTACTTTACTTCCCTCAAACGTACTCTTCCCTCGACAACATCCATTTCTCCCCTCGAAGGTATTTCCCTCCCCTCAGACACTAGTGTCTCCCCTCTCTTCTCTTCTCCCCTTCTTTTCCCTCCGCTGCCCTTTACTCTTCAGTTTGAAGACTCTGGACTAAGCCAGTATTCAGATTTAGCTAGAATCGAAACCCAGGTTTGTTTAATTAAAAAAACCTTTTGCTTTATACCTCTGAGAAAAACTTGCTAAACAATTTGGACTTTATTCTGTAGGCATGGGGAGGCATTGAATGTTTTGCAAGCAGGAGTTTGATATGATTGGATTATCTCTGGTGAAAATGTGGAGGAAGAATTGAAAGTGAAAACCGTGTGGATGCAGAAAGCCTAGGTAGGCAGGAAACTAGTGTTCTGATCCAAGTGGCAGCGAGTGAACTGGGATGGGGTAGGAACACGAAGAGAATGGCATGCAATTGCAAGAGGTTTCAAAATAGAGTTGAGAGGATTTGTGGGAGGTTTCTGACTTGGCTGATGGCATAAATTGGTGGTGGTAAGTGAAATAGGGAACATAAAAAAACAATTTTGAGGGAGGGAGGTAATGAATTCGATTTTGGACAAGTTCAGTTTGAGTTGTTTTTCAGATATCGCTGTGGGTAGCTGGAAATTTGGGTCTGAAAATTGGGAGAAAGGTTGGAATTGAATACATAAATTTGAGGGTCAAGAGAGACTGTACTGGGGATATTTGAAGCCTTAGTATAGGATGGTAGCACTGAAAGAAGAGAAGAGAAGGACTGTAGACCAGAAGGAGCATCATTGTTTCAAGGGTAATAGACACTGAGAAAGAGAGGTTACAGGAATGGGACAAGAACTAGAACAAAGTGGCATTATAACAGAAGCCAAAGAAAGAAAGGGTTTCGAGAAAGCAGTGGGATAATTATCAGTCTCAGGTACTGCAGAGGTCAAGTGGAATGAGAACTAGGAAGAAGCCACTGAATTTAGCAATTAGGAGGTCACTTGTTTCCTTTGAAAGGCAATTTTATTAATGTGTTGGCAATGATAGCAGTAGTCAGATCATGACGGATTGAGGAGTAAATGGGAAGCAGTGAATAAAATTACTCTTTCAGTGGTGTGGTTGTGAAGGACAGCTGGTAGTAGTGAAACTCGTATCTATTGAGAATATGCTATATGCCAGGTACAATAAAGGTACTTTGTAGATCACAACAGCCTTGTGGTTTAAGTGTCAGTATCCCTCTTTTATAGGCGGGAAGGCTGTAGGCAAGGATTTAAACAAGGTGTCTTTAGTTCTAAAACTTTCCAGTATGGTACTTGTATGGATGAAACAGTTTTGTGGGTTGAGAGGAAAGTTTTCCTGAGAAATATATTGGACATTTCATTCTTTGATACCAAAAGAATAGAAGTCAAGATGGATAATGATGTGGTAGAAGGGAAAGAAGGTGAGGAAGTCTGACACATGGACATATTTTTTTCATGTGATTAGTTATCTGAGGAGAAGGCAATTATCTCTGGAGACTGAAGGAACTATGGTGAGTTTCTGTCTTGAATATTATGGCCATGGGAATCTTCAATGGAAAATGAAAGGAGACTAGATTAAGGATAAAAAGAAAAAAATTGCTGACCACATCGAGGGCCCAGTTAGTTAGAAATAATATATGTGCGGGCCGGCCCGGTGGCGCACTGGATAGTGCGCCGCTTGGGAAGCGCAGCGGCGCTCCCGCCCGAGGGTTCGGATCACACGCACCCAAAAAAAGCTAGTAGGGAAACTTGCCAGAATTTGAACCCAGATCTGCCAAAACTCCAAAGTCAGACCATAATTGTGTCTCCCAGTGTGTAAATATCTATCAAATACTTTGTGCACATGTGTGAACATGCCAAACTTTGAATGATTTAAGTATAACCTGTATTTTAATACTTAGGACAGCATCATAAAATTAATTTCTAAATGAATATTGAAATTTATCCAGTTTCTATGTTTAGCAATTGGTGTTAATTTACCTCTCATAAGTGCTAGAAAGGTTCTACAATACCTCCTCCAGCCCTTTTATACTATTCAAGCTTTTTATTAGCCCTAATGTTGATTGCCTTCCCAGGGCATCTACTAGTTTGAGTATAATTTGTCTAATTAAATTTAAAGAAGAGATGTTTCAGGGAGCACCATTTCATCATTTCCTCTTAAACTCTATGCTGTGGACTTTAATGAGGACCTAAACCCCATCTTAACCCAGTTTTACACTTTCTCCAACAGCCTAAGAGCAGGAGGGCAAAAAAGATGTCAGGTTGATCCAGAACTGGAATTTGGGGTTGGCCGGTTAGCTCAGTTGATTAGAACACAGTGTTGATAACACCAGG